CCGATCCGAATTATTATTATTCCCGCTTCCTCCAGAAACCAACTTCCCCCCGTATTTCCGAAACTATTTTTTTACATCTTTACAAATTACAAATTACAAAATTACAAAATTACAAAATTACAAATTACAGAATTACGCCTTAACCGTCCATGACCATTCTATCGCGTCTGGTACAGATTTGTCTCATTAGATGCTTTTCTCCTTTTTTTTTTTTTTTTTTTTTTTTTTTTTCGGTTTCATTCGAAAAAAAAATTTCTGGTAATTAATTCTCGTAGTATGACGACTTTCTTTGCAATACGTATTTTTTACTATTTTATGAAATTTCTGGGATTAAAACTATTTAACGGATAGCTGCCTGAACTTCAGATACGGTTCTTTGGCGTTACACCTTTTTTCTTTGGGGTAACTTTGACGCAGTCACGAAAACAGCTTGTAATTGCACTTCATGCAATCCGGCGAATACAACACGCCCCCACGCGACCCCACCGGACCCAAAACGTAGGTCATATACATTCAGCATTTAATTTAACGGCCCTTTTGCCTCAAGTGCAATTACAAACTCAAACCCTGACTGCGCTGTAGTTTTCTCTTTTTCTTTTCTGGAGCTTTTTTCTTGATTGGTTTCTACATAGCTCCCGCTTACGGTGATGCCGTTCTTATTCACCCATCTATTTATTTACTTATTTACTTATTTACTTATTTATAGCAATATTGTCGTTACCTGCTGTTGGCCTTTGTTTTTCTTTTTTTTTTTTTTTTTTTTTATGACAATGTCATACGAATCCGTTTGAAAAAAAATACGTTGGAATTTTCTGTCATTGGACCCATTTTCATACACCACTACCTTCTTACCCGAATACAACGTATGGTCATTATAAGAGCTGTATTTGAGGCATCTTTCAGTCTAGATACAAGCTATAATGGTCGTACGTTGTATTCGGGGGAAGGAGGTACCTACCCAAACTCGTTCACACATCTCAACCAACTGCGTACTCTCCCAACTACGTAGTACACTATCCCAGGTAGCTCATTCTACCCCCTTTCGACACCCCTTTTTTGTAGTCCGTAGTTTCGATAGCTCCATAGCCATCATTCACACCCCTTCCAAACCCCCTTTGGTAGTCCGTAGTTCGATTTTTTTTTGTTTTTGTTTTTTTTTTTTTTTTTTTTTTTTTTTTCGATAGCTCTTTCACACATCTCAGCGCAGCCAACTACGTACTATCCCAAGGCAATCCGCCACTACAACCGAACTCCAACGATGGTTTGGAAGGCTCTACCCTTAAATTGATTGATTTGAATTGAGCTATAAAACGGTTATGGGTCTAAACCTACTTATCTCTGCTCTGTGCGGCAAGCAACACCCATTGGCAAACTCCTAACACCTGGCGTGGGCTGGAATGGACAAGTGCCCACTTCCACAACCGGGCAGAAGGGTCAAGGCGTCTTTTTTTTTTATGCGTGCCATCCTTGCGCAGGGGCCATGCTAAAAAATCTTCTTTCTCTGTATCGTTCCAATTTTAATGGATGTCCCCAAGGACAAGGCGACTTAATCGGTGCCCCTAAAAGTATACCACACAGGGGGTCGAATGGATGTGGATGTGGATGTGGATGTGGTGGGGAATCGAACCCAGGACCAACTGTGTACCACTTACATGCTCAACCAACTCAGGGCACGCTGACACTGTGGTAGCAAATCCGTATAAATTGCGAAAATGGGTTGGGCCGAATTGGGGTGTATTTGGGACGTTTCAGGTCACAGTGAGTTCACACCGCGTTCCCATTTCGCTAAAGACAAGGTCGCTACCGTGCCATCAGGGTGCTGCTGTTTGGGGTTTCCATTCACACAGAAGTAACCCCAAATATAGAACGCGCATGTTCCCTTTTGGACCATTTATCCATTTATGCGTGTCCTCCTTACTTGCGCAGGGGCCATGCTAATCTTCATTCTCTGTATCCTTCCAATTTTAATGGATGTCCCGAAGGACCATGTTCCCTTTTCAACTTTGCATTTATTTATAAAAATTAAATAAAAAAAGAATAAGGATTTTGCGGTGACCTCTAACCTCTAGAGGTTACCGCAAATTCCTCAAACCCGCGGCCAAGCAGGCCGCTGACAAATGGGTTTGCGAATGGGGTGTTTGGGGTCGGAACCATTGTGTGTGACCAGCCGTGTGCACATTTTTTTGGGAGTTTTACGGTTTTGGTACCCAGTGTGAGCGAGCCCTGAGCTAGGCCGCTTGGGGTCTATCCTTTTTTTTTTTTTTTTTTTTTTTTTTTTCAAATTGAATTGTTTTTTACGATAGTTTGGGCTGGGGCTGAGGTCGGGGCTGGGGCTGGGGGCGAGGTCCTACTTGGCCGTATTTTTTGTTATTGGTCTAAAAATATGTGGACGGATTAAAACAAGAAAGGGGAAACTACGCGGGAGTCACAAAAATGAGTTATAATTGCACTATGGGCCAAGATACAGTTTGCAATTGCAGTTTGGGCAATGTATACAACCCAACTTTCTGGCCAGGTAGGGTGCCCAAAGTGCAATTGCAAACTGTATCTTTACCCCATACTGCGATTGTTACTCGTTTTTGTGACTCTGCTCAAGTTACGCCGAAAAAGAAAAGAAGTACCTTCCATCGATCTTTTTTTTTTTTTTTTTTTTTTTTTTTTTTAATGACGTTTATCGATCTTTGTTGTATACGGAATGTCCGTCTTCGGGCCTCGCCGCACGGTGCAAGAAACGAAAAAAAAAACGACTTCATTTCGTGAAGTCGTCGCCACATAGCACCCACACGAACTGTGTCAGAAAAAACTCGTGAATGCTGTCAGCCTCCAAGTTCGCGAGGCCTCACGAGTGTGCCGACTCCTCCCTGCCTGCAGCCCTCTCTAACTCGTAGGTCCTCCGCTGGTAGGCTGGAGGAGCTGCGAAATCTCATGAGTGTGCTGCATCGCTCCAACCGAAGTCCATCCAAGAACTTGGACCGTAGCGTCCACAATTTTTTTTTTTTTTTTTTGGGCGTCCACAAATTTCGACAGTAGCGAAACGAATCTTGCACTGCTGTCGCCAGGGCATTGTCGCTAGAGTTTTCGTGTGTGCTGTGGGGCGGTGAGGCAAAAAACGAAGCGAAACGGTTGATCAGGGCTTCGTGAGGCCTCGCGACTCTGGTGATCGTTTCATTTCGTTAGTTGTGCCGTGCGGCGAGGCCCTTCATCTGTGCGAGTGGGACCTCGTGTCACGGTCCACCGAATAGAACGTACGGTCACGATGCCTGTATTTTGGGCAACTTTCAGTCTAGATACAGCAGTAATGACCGTACTAGGTTAGGTTCTATTCGTCGTCGGAGGACCGCAGACATTTACAAATTGCTAATTGAAAAGAGCGACATCATCGCGATGACTGAGACTCGGTCAAGTAAGTAAATGGATGGATTACCGGCTGGGTACATTCGTATGCTGATGGAATTCACGACTAGGTACATCCTCCATATAATTGAAATCCGATCTCGATTACACGAGTTCATTGAAACGCCTTGGCGATTCTATATGATGTGTGTCTGTCCCGATCAGCCACGTGGCAGATCCATGCGCCTTCCCGTGTTGCTTAAGTACTTTCTTTGCTTTCTGGGAATGATTGAGGAAGGCACAATTGCAGTGGGACATTTCTGCATTTGAATGTATAGGGTCACAATGACGGTCAAGTGCGTCCCCCGAAATCCCGTGAAAAAAAAAAATGCCCTCAACTGGTCTGCAATTCCATGTGTTTGGCATTTGGGTGAGCAGATCCAGCATCCCTGCAGAGGCTAATGAGGCGG